TATACTATGAAGTCTGAGACTGACTACAAATTGTACAGATAAATTTAATTTTATAATTTGTAGATTTTTGTAGATTCTGAGTTAAAACAAAATCTATTAGACAACTATTTTAGAAGACGTATCATTATATTTTTTAGTAACAATATTTTATAAGTTTAATATAATGGTATATTCTGTACATTTACTCATGTTATAATATGTTATGTGAGGAACGTGTTACATCGTGAGATAAAATTGTTTATTATGTTAATGAACTTACTAGAAAATTGTGTGCTATGTTAAATTTATGTGTTTTATACTACGCTCACGATGGATATTTTTCTGTTCTAAGGATTTTGGAAAACTATAACAAGTATCTCTGTACTTATAGACGTGTATTCGTAGACATCCATTCTTATAGCTATGTAACGTAACATCGACTGGCATGTGCCATTGTTATAAACGATACAATTTGTCTTATGTGGTCTTCTTTCTAGTGTAGGTATTATAGAGGTTCGACCACATTGAGAAATGATGTTCAATTTGAAAACATGTTTGGCTCACACTGATCTAAGCGTATAAAATCGAACGTGAGAGGTAATAACATTTTGAACCAATTATTTTTTTCCCTTGGTTATAAGTAGTAACTAACCCCTAGAGCCGATTAGATAAGTTGGTTGTATGTAAATTTCCAAGATAATTTTATCCTGTATTCTGCCAATCAACAATAATTTATTTATCATATTTATTAACCGCAAACCAATTGCCTTTGTAACGTCTTTGCTGTAAAATTTTATTCCTAATAATGCAATTATTTCAACTACACAGTAAAAATGTTTTCATTTAACTACAAAAAAAAACACACATATATGAAGTAAGATAACCAACATTTTATTTAGATAATAAGAATTGATCACTTGTGGTTAATAATATTTAAAATAAATATATATAAAATATCAATGAAAAACTATGAAATATTTAACATAAAAAGCCACAAAAAATACTAAAATATTACGTATTTGTACTTCGCAAACAATGTTACCATGATCAATACTAAAAACATACTAACCCCAACCAACAAAAAAAAATAGGTATCAGGTTTAAAGAAACCTTAGAAACATTAAAAAAATCAAGAAATTGCTAAATTTCTTGTGGTTGAACAATAATTCAGACATAATCAAATAAAAAACGTAAATAATTACAAAGAATTTAATATAAAAATCGATATAAATGTATGAAAATAATACAAATTTAATTAATTGGGATCTTGTCTCACTACAAAATTCATTATTCAACTTGTGTAAACTAGCAAAAATCGACTAAATGATAACTAAAAATGGTAAGGTCACTAAAAGTATTTAAGGTGTCCCACCGTAATTTACTAATTTTAATACTAGTTTATATAGTCAAATTAGTATATTTAAGTTGTATATTTCGGTCCAAGTGTTATTATCACTGATGATGGTAACATTATCCTTAAAATATGTATCGACATTTTTTTTTAGTATTTTTGTGGCTTTTTGAATTAATTATTTTTAGTTTTAAATTAATACTCTAAATATATTTTGTATTTTTAATTATTTGTTGATAATTTTAGTATAGTAGATTTTTATGAATGTAAAATATTATAGAAACTTTATTTGAAAAAATTTGGATACAACATGACTAGTATATGGTACATTCTGCCCGCGATACATACCCACTATATTTACTTAAAATGTTGTAACGAATGAAGGGATCAAATAAAAAAATTTGAAGGAATGAAATTGTTTGTAATGTTTTTTTTTTTGTCATATTAACAATTTAAAAATATGGAATTTTTTTTTTTACCTTGAAAAGACGGAAAAATTTTTTTTAACTATTTAAAGTATTTTAAATTTAAAAACAAAAATGAAAAAAAAAGTTTATAGACTTGAAAAAGTAACAAAAAAATAGTCTAAAGATTATCACAATGTAAGGTGTACAAAAAGTGATAACAGATTGCTAACAGACGACGATGATGGAATAATAACGGTAACACAGTAGGGTCGTGGCATAGTTAGGACAAGTGTAGATGATATCTGATAGTAATAAAATTACTATCATAAGGAACGATTCTATGCAAATCTGTTAATGTGCTTAAATCTTAGAAATTGTTGCATAATTACAAAAGCAACATCAACTCTCATTTCCTTAATTATATTATGATTAGTGTTATAAGTCATTATTAGTTTTCATAAGTATAATATATGAATAGATACTAATTATTGTATTTAATTTTAGCATAAAATTGATATTCAATAATTTTTTATTGTAATTGTCACAGAGAAATTGTTAAAATAATAAATTCTTTACTTTTAACGCGTAAGAAATATAAAGGGCATAAAGCAATACTTTTCAAAAAAAAATCGTTTTCTTATCAATTAAAAACACTATTCTACAAGAATTTTTTATCAGAATCCAAAATTTACTTTTCTAAATCAACTTTTCACATTGTATTGCGGCCTATGTTATATCGAATGGCCGCTAAACTAAATGGCGCTAATCGCATATTGTATTTTATCTAATACTAGTACACCGCGATACCTCTAGCGGTTCAGTTTGTAACGAGATATACATTAATCACATTACTTTCTATTATTTCTACATTTGTATTATTAGTAATAAATTATAACAACTAAAAAACTCTGAGCGTACGAATAATTTTTATAAATTTAATTATATTCCCGTTCACCCCTCAACATACTGTTTTTAAATCTGAAATAAGACTTTTTCTATCACTTCTAAGTTTTGATATTATTATTTTTTATTAAAAAAAGAATTTTTACATATAAATAAAATATTAAAAACAAAAAAATATTGTTTTAAATTATTACTGATTTTGATTTTTAATATGTTAAAAATAATCATTGCAAAATATCAATTTTTACCTACATTTTTTGGTCCTTTAAAGTTGATTTTTGTGAAAGTATTTAATAAAAGATAATTGAATTCATTACCATGACTTTTAGCTCAATATTTTTTTGCATTTTTATCGTAATAATAATAATTACTTAAATAGTAATAATTTGTTGTTGAAACCTATTATCATATCAAACCTAATTCAATAATAAAAACTTAAATAATATTAAAAATAAATAATTTTAATGGTCTGTATGGTAAAAGCTGGTTAAGAATCATTTTATTTGATAAAGGGGATTATTTTATCAATTTTTGAGGTTATCTTTAAGTAGATACTAGTGTTGATCTTTTGATGTATCCTTGAAAGAAATTGGTCCACTGAGAGCTGAGAATAAGTGGTAACAGACACACACACACACACAAAAATTAATAAACATATCATAGTAAAATTAACACCAAAAGAGACATTACACAATACTTTATAGAATGAGGGATTGGTAGATACAATTAGTGATTAAGAGGTGTGAGAAGTTGCAACATCAATGAAAAAAAAAATAAAGCAGTAGAATCATATGAAGTGCCAGTAAAAGTATGGTAAATATTAGGCGGTGTTGGCATAAGATGGTTGATGGATCTTTTTAATAAAATTCTATTGAAAGGGAAAATGCAAAAAAAAAAGTAATAGTATTGTGGTATTGGTACTAAAAGGTAAAGGAGACATACATGAGTGTGGAAATTATAGAGAGTTAAAGCTTATGAATCATAATATGAAGATTTGGAAAACGATAATAAACAAGAGAACAAGAAATCAGACATCGGTATTTAAAAACCAGTTTAGATTTATGCTTGGTAAGTCAACAATGGAGCCATTATTTTGTGTGACGCAACTAATAGAAAAGTTTAGGGAAAAGAAGAAAAAGCTGTGTATGGTATTTATAGAATTGGAGAAAGCGTATGATAGAGTACCGAGAGAAGATTTAAAATGGGCATTAATGAGAAAAAGAGGATCAAAAAAGTGCATTAATATAATAGAGGATATGTATGATGGCACTTGTACCAGAGTAAAAAGTGAGGGCAGAGTATGAAAAGATTCTATGTGAATAAAATGTTAGTCATTTAAAAAATCATTCGAAGTAATGGGTTATACTCAAGAAAGGTAATGCACAAAATTTAAAATGAATTATAAAGGTATTGTTTTTTTTTCGTTATACTTAAGTAAATAAGTAACCCATATTCAGATCAAAACGAAGAAAAGTTTTTTAGAAGACCTCAGGCCCCCAGATTCCTAAAGCCCTTGCTGTATATAAATATTTATAAACTAATAACTTAATTATATTATATTTCCTTAATTAAAATTTATTTATTTCATTGAAATTTTTTAAATTGTATTCTTAATTCTATTATATTTGATTATACATTTAAAACCTACAATTCTGATTAAGTAAAAATGTTGTTTAAATGAATTTTATTTGTAAATGAATCATTATTATATATAAGAATAATATCAATTGATAAAATTAAAACCATAACTGAAAATTATTGTCAACTAGTTGACAATAATATATCATGTTATAATATGATAGAATTATACATATTTTTAAACCACCCGTCAGATATAATAATTCATTTAGATTGACTGTTTACCAAGTCAAAAATACTTTAAATAAATAACAGTTTATCCTTATCCCGACATTATATCTCAAAAACGCTAATTAAATTTTTACCTTTAAACTTTCTTGTAGTACAGTAAAACTTCACTATAACAACTCTTTTGTTCATAAGTATTTTACAAAAAATTATTGCAAGTTAATATTTTAAATATAAAGTTTATTAGACTAATATTTTTAAAATTTTGTTAACAGAATAATTTTCACTTAGCCAAATTCAAATTTGCACGGTTTACGTTAGCCATTGAACGTTTATACAATAATAATGAAATAACTTATTTTACAGAATAGTTGCTCGTTAAACATGAGATTGACGTTAATATTTAATATTTAATGTATTCCATCAATTAAACATTAACACCGACAAACAGCCGTTAGGAGTCGCGTGTGGAGGCGGCACTTTACTGGAGGGATGTCGTCGAACGGCAATGCGATGGACCCCATCGGTATCCGTCGGCGCCGGTAACCATCAGTTGAAAAACATCGCTGTTGGAGGACGTTCTGTGTGTAACCGCCGTCGGTCCCTTGGTCTACGTGTTTTGCGCAATTTTAACGGTATTCAGATTATTCGATTTCAATTTTTTTCTTTACGACTAGTTGTTCCAATTCATTTATTTCTTTCATAACACTTTAAATAATGTCTTAAGTCTCATTTACGTGATCGAAAGTCCATATTAAATGGATTTTTTTACACAATAACGTTAAATTACTGGTTTTCACATTAAATTTCTAATGTAACCTGTTGCGATAAAAACACAAGCAGGACTTCATCAGAGAAGCAGCCATCATGTTTCGAAACCGAAAATTTCAAGTGCTATGGATACTCTACTTTTTCGTCTATAACGGTAAGGATTTATACATTAGTCATAATTGTTTCTTTGGAATGGAATGATATTCTAGTATTTTAAGAATCAACGTCATGAAATCCCAATATTACCCTATGTTTCTAGGTAATTGAACATGATATAGGTAATATGTATATTTTCGATAATGATAACTAGAAAAATTTTATCGTATGTAATGAATATCAACATATTATTACAGTGTATTTAGAAATTTTAGATTGAAGTAATAATAGTTGACTATAATTAGTATTGGTAACCATTTAATGTAAATAAATAGTAAAAATATATAATATTTTTTGTAAACAATGATTGAAAATTGTTGATCATATTTTCAATTTAATTATAAAACCAACTTAATTGATGAACTAATTACATTACGACTAATCAAGAAAAATTAAATATAATTAACTATAATTACTTTAAAAGTATTGAATTATATTTTTTCTTAACAGCTAATTTCATACACATATTTTTTAATAATTAGGTAATAAATTAAATTTTAAGAGATATGTTGACGTAGGGCATCGTAATAAAGGGTAATTGCTACACGTGTGTTTAAACTTCTGATCTTAAAAAATTAAAGACTGCCAACATAAGATATTTCAGTGAATGTTATTTTAAGAAACAAAGTAATCTTAGACAATATAATGATGAAACAATTAAAATTACTATTAATCAAACCAGCAATGGTCATTTATATTTTTCCTACACAAATCATGTTCGTCAATATATGCATAATTATTTAAAAAATTCATTAAATATTTACATTTTAAATAAATTTCAATCTTATTTTTAAATTTAACATTTGTTAATAGTTTCTGTTTAAATTAAAGATTACGATACCCTATGGAAAAAGGGGAAGGGATGACAAAACAATGCGTACCAACTTATTTTAAAGATTTTTATGGACAAACTGATTCTTCCTTTTTTTTTCTTTTATAGTATGTAGAAGTTTCCAATTTTCAACTTTTAGCATAATTATCAAGCTTCATATTTGCCTATTAATAACTATAAGAAAAAAATTTTTAAATCGATTTTATTACAACTGAAAAAAAATATGTACCATAATATTATTTGACATGTACTAGTTTTCATAAAATAAATATATTTACAACCTACTTGGATTTTAAACTACATATTAGCCAAATGAAAACCAGTAACTTAATAATTAATTTTTATACATTTTATAAAAAAAATTGATTATATATTTATAAGAGAATTTTAAGAAAATAATTTTTTATGTAAAATCTTATGCGCAGTCTAAAAATTAAGTAAAAAATGCGAAAGGTAAAACTGTGTTTTGGAGTTGTATAATTAGCATTTAATGTCTGTCGAAAAAAATGGATTTTTATTATATTGTAAATATGTTTAGTTTCAATTCACCAATTTTTCAATTGTTTTTATAAAATTAAAGAATATTAAATTGTCTACAACATTTGATTTGATTTGTTGCTCATATTATATTTATGAATTTATTGTAAACTATTTATACATTTTTGGTTATTTTTTGCTATATTTGAAAAATTATTGAATTTGTTTGGAATCTATCAAAAAAGAGTTAATCATTTGTTAGACCTTATTAGGTTATCGTATATTTTTCAAATATCTAATAAAATAATTTTTTTAACTGGCCCAAGTAAAATTTTTGAAAATATATAGCTTATAAAACTACAAAACATATGCCTGAATTTATATGTTTTATCCATATAACTCTTGGTTTAATTTATGAACTATTACATAAGGATAGTTAATTGTCTATATTAACCTTGCGTTCATTAATTTATAAGTTCGAATAATGAAGTATAATAATTTAAATATAAAAAATATTAACAATTTTTAATTAAGTTAAAAAATAGGAAATTTAAAGACATTTTTTTATGCATTGATTTCTTGAGTAAAAGTTTTTTTATAAGTAATTTAGTTGTTATATTTTTTTATTAAGAAAGTACCGAACCAAACCTAACACAACTAAATATAATATTAATTTTTCGTTATATTAACTTGTACTAATTATACTATACCACTTCTTGTGACATAGTATAGTGAGTGTTGTTTTTCACTTGTCCACTTGTTATTTTTCTTTTAGTTAGTGCTTACTACAAAAAGAAACAAAACTTTTTTGCCTACGCTCTGATGAATTTGCCATTAAAATGTTAATAAAACTACTTTGGCAAAATATAATTTGCAACACCGGTTTATTACGTTTGTTATTTATATACGTTAACCTAAATACAGCCATAGTCCATTGCTGGTTATATATTTAGGTCATTCGTATTTACTTTTTACATCTTACGTTTTTTAAATTACATTTAAAATTTTCTATTAACATTCTATTTTTCTTTTTTTTTTTGATAACGTTTCTCTTTGTTTTTAATCCTCCAGAACTTATTTTTAATATACTGGATTATTGGAAAAGCAATTTGTGTATTTACTATATGATTAGTAACAATACATTTATTTAGATTTAATAAGAATTAATTTTTCAATATAATTTTTGTTAAAAATTTATTTTTTTTTATGATATAAAATTTAATTGTTATAAAACTTTTGACACCAAAAATCAATATAATTTTTGGAAATAGCATTCATTAAAACACTCAAATAATGGTTACTTATCAAGACTGAAATATGTCATCTACAGATCAGAACAATGAAGGTCTGATTTGTAAATATTAACTAGATAAATTATAATGTTCTATGTAATGACAGATGATCATCAAATTAATAAACCTAGTATAACCTAATAAAGAGTTATATACTCTTATAAAATTTGATATAATTAACATTTCATGGTGATTTTTTTAAATAATTCATTTATTTTTAGTTTACCTTATAATTGTATTTAGTATTATTTGTTTTTAATATTAAAAATAATAAAAAACCCAGCACAGGGAGGTCACGGCACAGTGGTGACATGGCATAGTTAGGTCAAGTATAATGATATCTGCAGTGATTAAAATCACTATCAAAAAACGCTTAGATGCAAATCTTTAGATAGTGTTTAGTTTTAAAAAATTGGTGGATTATTCCAAAAGCTTCATGATTTGCTGTTTCCTTATTAATATCCTGATTAAGATAAAGTATATTGAATTAATAAGGGATGTAAATATTATTTTTCATAAAAAAATTGTGTTGATCCATACATTTTTCAATAAGTTATAGCATTATAAAGTTAAAAATGTAAAAAATTAAATCGAGAATTTTCACACAAAAATAGCATTCGGTACTATTTTCACCGTGATGACAAAATAAAATCCGAAAATTTTTTTGTAATGAAGTATATTACATCAGATTTAATATAATTTAATCTAATATAAAAGTGTCAGACTTTTTGGAACACTTTCAAATGTTAAGATGGAAAAGTTAATTTAAAAAAAAAAAGTTATGGATTTTTTAATAAAAAAAAATTAAAAAAATGTCCGAAATTAGCGATTTTTAAATTTGTAATTTTTTTGGAGATTTCCTCCACGAGAGAATTTTTTTCAATTTTTTAGGGTAATGTCTTCGACTAGATACGATTTGTGATCTTTTGACGTATTGCTGAAAGAAATCGGTTGGTGAGAGCTGAGAAAAAGTGGTAACAGACACAAAAAAAAATAAAACATTATAGTAAAACCAATACCTTCTCAGCTTCACATCGAAGCTGAAAACTGTATATTTGTTATAATGAATTTATTTTTTAATTTAAAATTAGTTTTTTTTTTAGTTCGTTCATTTGTCTGTCTTCTATCATTTGTTTGTATAAAAATAACTCTAGAATTTAGAACTAATATAAATTTTAAATTAATTCTTATGAAATAATATTTTATCTTGGTACGGTAACGATAATTTTTTAACATGGTTGTCATAATAACACCGTAGTTAGTACCACATAGTTGTAAAATAAGGATTGGAATGAATGCGTTCAATTAAATGCAAAATATGCATAGTGAGACATCTGTATATAATTTTTATATAATAAATATAATTTACCTGTATATTTGAAGTAGCTAAGCATGTGTTAAAGCTTGACAAGTTCAATATTTATTTTATAAACAAAATTTAATAAAATGTCATCATGAGTGCATTATTTTTTAGTGAGAGTGAATGATTGAGTGAAAGCTCGATGAATGAGAATGCAAATCATTCGTTTTTAGATGAACTTTACAAGTTCTACATATAAAATAAGTATATTATATTTTTTTTTTTTTTAATTTGTTCATTATGTTAGTTCTGTCATTAATTTTAAGTGAAAATTTCACTGTGATGAACATTAACTTGAACTAATTCATATATAAGTACTTTACCATCATATATATATTTAGATATAAACATAGTGATAGGGGTATTATTTATGCAATCTCTTCTGACTATGTTTTGTATTTTTTACTGCAAAATAAATACAATAATAACATTTTTCATAAAACTTAAAATACTATAAATTTATTAACTGCTGCTCAATAATAAAATATATATTTACCAAATTTATTTTTTATTTACTATACAAAACTTTTCGTAAATAAAAAAATTTCATTTTTAAATAAAGAATTCATGAAATTATTACAGTTCAAAAGTATAAAAATTGTATTTCTAAAATAAATGTATTGAAAAATATTAACTAGATTAAAAGTTATAGGACTTGTAAGAACATATTCTGACCCCATTCTGAATATTAAACAATGGTATTCAATTATTTTAAAATAATTATAAATTATTAAAAACATAAAAAAATTTGAAATTTCTCCGATGTTAATATTTGTACTATTATATGTGTTTGGATGTGATAAATTAAACATTTATAAAGTTTTTGTAGAACTAATTTTTACGTTTTTGTCGATTCAAATTTTATAAAATAAACTTAATTCAGCTATTTTAAATTTGTAAAAATAATTTATATACTGAAAGAAAAGTAATTAAATTTTTAAGAATCATGTAATAAATACCAAAATAATACTTTTAGTTTAATCCATTAAAATTAAAAGACCATAGGTGCTATTTGAGTGGATCTCGAAGGAACTAAG